TTTCCTTTACTGATTTCCAGTCCAACCCCGTTCCCCAAGTGAATGTTCTAATTTTGATTGGTTCATTCATACAAAAATATATTTACTGAGTCACTGAATAAACGAAATCATTATTCTCATATTCATCAGAGTCACTGAGACCAAAAATAAGAGTAAGACATGATCTTTGCCTTTTAAGTCCTCAAATGCCATCTGCCCCCTCACTCTCAGCAGAAATCAATAATATTTAATAGCACTTAATGTGCCAAGCACTTTACATATATGAATTCATTTAATCTACACAGCAATCCTCATTATCATTATCCCCATTCTACGTGTAAGTAAGGCATAAACAAAAGTAAAATAAAAAGTGGGACTACATCAAAATAAAAAGCTTCTGCACAGCAAAGGAAGCTATCAATAAAATGAAAAGGCAAACTACAAAATACAAGAAAATATTTGCAAACCATATATCTGATAAGAAGTTAATATCCAAAATATATAAGGAACTTATTTAACAGCAAAAACTAATAATAATCATTCAATTAAAAATGGACAGAGGACCTGAAAAGACATTTTTCCAAAGAAGACATACAGATGGCCAACAGGCACATGAAAAGATACTCAATATCACTAATCATCAGGGAAATGGGGCGCCTGGGTGGCTCAGTTGGTTAAGCGACTGCCTTCGGCTCAGGTCATGATCCTGGAGTCCCGGGATCGAGTCCCACATCGGGCTCCCTGCTTAGCAGGGAGCCTGCTTCTCCCTCTGACCCTCCCCCCTCTCATGCTCTCTCTCTATCTCATTCTCTCTCAAATAAATAAATAAAATCTTAAAAAAAAAAAGGGAAATGCAAATCAAAACCACAATGAGATTATTATCTCACACCTGTTAGAATGACTGTGATCAAAAAGACAAGGAATAACAAGTATGGGCAAAGATGTAGAGAAAAGGGAACCCTGTGCACTGTTGATGGAAATGTGAATTGGTACAGCTGTTATGGAAAACAGTATGGAGGTTCCTCAAAAATTAAAAAACAGAACTACCATATGATCCAGCAATTCTACTTCAGGGTATTTATCCAAAGGATATGAAAACACTAACTCAAAAAGATACCTGCATTCCATATTCACTGCAGCATTATTTACAATAGGCAAGGTATGGAAGCAAACTAAGCGTCCATCAATGCAAGAATGGATAAAGAAAATGTGGTATGTATATATGTACATATATATATACATATGTATACACACACACACAGAGAATTATTATTTGGCCATAAAAAAGGAAATCTTGCCATTTATAACACCATGGATGAATCCTGAAGACATTATGCTCAGTGAAATAAGACAAAAACAAATACTGTAAGATCTTACCTATATGTGAAATCTAAAACAAAACAAAAAGCCTGAACTCACAGACACAGAGAACAGACTGGTAGCAGCTAGAGGTGGGGAGGTGGGGGTGGATAAAGTGGGTATAGGTGATCAAAAGGTAAGGTTATAAAATAAATAAGTCATGGGGATGTAATGTACAGCATGGTGACTATCAATAATACTGTATTGTTTGTCTGAAAGTTGCTGAGAGTAAATCTTAAGAGTTCTCATCACAAGAAAAAAATTGTTTTAACTGTGGTGATGGATGTTTACGCTTACTATGGTGATCATTTCACAATATATACAAAAATGTAATTGTTATGTGATACACATGAAACTAACATAATGTTATATGACAATTATATCACAATAAAAAAAATTTTTAATTTGAAGCAAATAAGTCATATTATACCCAAGGTCACACAGCTAAAAAGTGGTAGAGCCAGGACTGAAAACCAGTCTAGCTTCAGAGTCCAAGCTCTTAACCACTTCACTAAAATGCCATCAAAGTCACTGACTCCATTAGGTTTGCATCCCTCAACTACTCTACAGGACATGTAAAATATAATCCGCAGTAATTAATTCATTCAACACTGACATAACTCATTTGCCTTGTTTTTGTTCCTTGAACACAAACTTGTTCCCACCTCAGAGCCTTTGTAATTTTCTAAAACACTCTTCCTTCAGATCTGCCTTCCCATCATTATGATTCAACTCAAATCTCGAGATCTGTCCTGACCACCCTACCTAAAATAGCTCTCCCACTATAAATCGTCTATCACATATAATCGGCTTTATTTCTTTCATACTTACTTATCACTATCTGAAACTATCAGTTGTCTGTTTCTCCCCACTAGAGTGAAAGTTCCAAGAGAGTAGAGCTCTTGTCTATTTTGCTCACTGGTACATCTTCAGCACATAAAACAGAGCCTGGCACACAGCAGACAGCTGATATTTACAGAATGGATACCAAAAACTGTGCTGTATGTTGGGATTACTAAAATGAATAGGATACGGTTCTTATCCTCAATAAACTCTAGTCTTTATAAATACTAACTCCTCCCTTTCTATATTAAAGGAAGACTAGCCCTTAATTTTTTTCAATGGCTAACCTCTCCACCTGATATCTTAAACATGTTTCTGAGATCTCTCTTTGACCTCTCCATCAATTATCCTCTCTCTCACTTCTTTAATTTCTCCTTCTCCACTCACTGAACATTTCCCACCCACTCTCCCATATTTGAATATCCAGTCCTCAACCCTGCAACTCCCTGTTACCCCAACATCTCTCAATGACTCCTCACATCTCTCTATGACCACTTCCTCAAAAGTTACCCAGTGACCTGGAAAATGTTCTCACTTTTTTAAGCATTTAACACTGCTGAGAACTTTCAACCCACTTTCTTAAGACCAGAGGTGCCACTGTCTCACAGCTATCTTAATTCTTTATCTCTTTTTTTTTTTCAGCTTCCTTCACTATCTCCTCTCTCTCACACCTTTAAATTTGAAGCTCACTAGAACTTCATCCTCTATTCTTGCTCCATTCTCTGTCTGAAAGATCTCATCTTCTCCTCTAACTCAACTAGTGCTCCTATTCAAGTAATTGTACCGTTTATTCACAACCTAAATCCTAGCTCCACTTGCCCTGTCATATTTAACAAAAATTTGATTGAATTCTTAAGCAAATCCTCAATAAAGGATAGTTGCAGGCTCACTTAGATAAAATAATGTGAACTAAAATAAGCAATAATGTTCTGAACAAGCACTAGAAGGCAATATTACACACCTTAAGGTTGGTTTCCATGACTACTTCTTGAAATATTTGAACTAATTCTTCATTAATTGTAATTGACAGGTTGTACAAAAATGGATCAATGACCAAAAATCACTAATAAATGTTATATATCTGATTAATCTATATTAATTTTGTCTAAAACTGTTAATATAGCTCTAGATACACAAAACTGTGTATTTACACAAGTATACTAGTAGAAAGTTAAAATAGAAATACCAGTCACAAATTATGTCTGGAACAACATACAAAATAAATTCAAGTTCTTTGAGAGGGGTTTGTAAAGATGTACCTAAAGTGCCATAATTCAGAGACTCACAGCTCAAAATTATACCTATCAGAGCAAACTGTCTAATGACGTTTTGTGCTGTTTTCAAAAACATGAGCAAGAAATAGGTTTGTGCCACTGTGGCCTTCAGTTTAGATAATAAAAGGTAGTTACATACATTTATACCCGTATGATAAACTGCCCAATCCTGTAAACAATTATAGACATGAGAAGACTGGTTTACCCAGAAAAAGTGTGAATAAAGCTCCATCTTCACAACTCTGCAATGGATAAGCGCACCAGTACACAATAGTAAACTACAAATACCTGATGTAACAGCCTAGTCCCTTTCATAATTAAAGGACATCTTGTTATTGCCCAATACACTGCACATTCAGTAAATGCAGTAAACTCTGGAACTTATTTGACAAAATACTACTATGCTTTCCCCATGTGTTGTAAGAAGCTGTGAGAAAAAAAGATGAAGCCAACTCCCAATTACCACTGTCAAAGCCAAGCTGGTGAAACAAGTCAATCATCATCCTTCAGGGTATGTGGCATGTAAGGACATGGAAAAGAACACAATAGGAGAGCCCTCAGCAGAAAGACACCCACATTTTAAGAAAAAGAAAATGAAAGTGATTTAACATCTCCTACATCAAGGAATCTGAAGATACAGCGAGCCTAGTAAGAGATGTAGGAGCCAGTCAAATTTTCTAGTTGGTGGCAACTAAACATTGTATAAGCAGTCATATTTCGAAATTCTACAGCTTTTCCCCTTTCCCTACAAAACCCCTTCACCCCCCCTTTACTCTAAAGCCTATAAATGGGAGGAAATAGAACATAAGATGAAGGGAAATGGCTGATGGGACATCAGAACACAAGTGCAGCTGCAATCACATCTCTAGAATACCAAAAGGTCCAGTTACCAAAGTACAGCTCTAAAAATCTCTATCAGACACCCTTCACATCCACATAAATCTCCTTCTGCACCCCCCTTTGCATAAATCTCTTAAATTTAAACTCCATGCCTTATCCAACAGCATGATTATCTAAAACTCATCCTATATATATGATACTATCCTTAACCTATACCATTGCTCCCCTTTAGTGAAAGGCAGATTTTTTTAAGGGAGGTGGAAAGTGGAGGATGGAATATCACGGGGGGGTGGGGTGGGTAGAATACGTGCAAATACCATTGCGGCAGAGATACTGGAAACGCCACTTCCCTCACCACTCTTGCAAATTCTCTCCGTGCAATGCCGTCTTACCCTCTACCAATCCCTCCTCCCTCCTCAACAATACACACACACGTGTCATAACCGACCTGCACCATCACCTTTTCTAACATCACATGCTACCTCCCACTCTCACTAACCCCCCACAAAGACAGTCACACACACACGGTAGAAATTGTTGCCACCGCACCCTATCTCAGTAAGTGCTTCCACCAGCCAGCATCACGCGCTTGGAGAAAGACAGCTCAGTAAACAGGTATGCAGACACACATACATGCATACATACATACACACGCACGCACACACATGCGGCATGTGGCCCAAGGAATAGCACTGGAGACCGCACCTGGAGGCTGGGTGTCCAGCGCCGCTGCCCCCCTGGTCCCTGTCACTGAGCGCAGCTGTGTAAATCCTCCGGTAGCGGTCGGCCAGGGCCCGGCCTGACAGCAGCAGCTGGTAGTGACCCCGGGAGTCCGCGGCCGGCAGCCCCAGCCCCAGCCCCGCGGCAGCCACGGAGCCCTCGGGAACCGGCATGAACAGCGCCCCCGGCGCCGGGGAGGAAGAGATGGTGGCGGCTGGGAAGAATCCGTCCCCGCCGGGCCCCGAGGAGGCGGCGGCGGGGGAGGCAGTCGCTGAGCACATCATCATCCTCGCCGCCGCCGCCGCCGCCTCGTCCCTGCGGGCCGGGCAAGCAGACACGCGCGCGCACACACAGCCCTTTTCCAACGACGACGGCTCCGGCGACGGCCTCTCGTTCCCGCAGCAGGAGACTACAAAGACAGCGTCCTCCTCCTCCGTCTTCTCCTTCTCCCCCCTGTGCCGCCCTCGCCGCTACTGGGACCGCTCATCTAACCCCGCCACCTCGGGAGTGTGAGGAGGAGGCGGTGCCGCCGCTGCCGCCGCCGCCACCGCTGCCACCGCCGGGGCTACCCGCAATGGGAAGCTGCCGTCCGCACTGGGCATGCGCCACTCCTCGCACATGCTCAGTAACTCCGGCCCGTTTCCCTCCCCACCCCCCCTCGCCACCACTCCCTCTGCCCCAGGGCTTTGGGTGTGGGGCGTTTGAGTTGTGTGGAATCTGAAAGAAATCCGCTTCTCCGGATTTTACTAGCAGCTTGAGGAAGAGTAAGGAAAGTGCTGCGAAGGCTGTCAGCTACAGGCTCTTGGCTTCAGGTAATGGGGTTCCTCTCCAGGTGGGAGAAGTTGGACCTGGAAGAGGGAATGCCCCCTCCCCCCCGCCGGAGAATGAGTGTTACGCACTCTTCTGCTACTTTTTCTCAAAGTGTGTGCTGCCAACATGAAGATTTACTGGGAACAGCGCTGGTTAATTCAGAATCAAAGGCAGAGAAGGCCAGCCAAACTGGAAGTATCTCTGGCGATTTTATTTTGGATTTTTTATCATTAGGATTAAAATGGATTTTATTTCGAAAAACAGGTAGTAAGCTAGTGCATTCTCTTTTCTTTGAAAGTAGAATTCACAGATAAGAAAGTAGAATTTACAGATAATTCACATTCCTAAGTTCTATTCTCAACATTTACCACAGAGCTAAACCTTAATGCTTTTCTGACATATTATGTTGACCCCACACTCATCCTTAGAGTCCACTTTTATCTCTTTGACAGTGGTCACTTAATGGCTTCTCTTTTTCTGCCCAGACTTATATTAGTAGAGATAATTCTTGAATCTGACCTGAAGCTATTAACTCTATGTGTAACATCTGAAAATGTCATATTTACCAAAGATCTTATCATTTTATCTCCTAAAATGTAACATTTGCTGAGTCCTTTGTGCCAAGGTATTCTACTAACCCCTTATAAGTAAGTGCTCTAGAAATGCATGTGCCAATGAATTCTGATTCCTAAGTTTTTCCATTTAACTCTCAATTTGAAGAGTTCACCTAATTCATACTCCTGACAAAAATCATTTCCTAATCCTATCATTCCCAGTACTATTTTATCTACTTACTGGCGCTTCTTTTAAAAAAGATTTATTTGTTTATTTATTTTGGGGGGGCTTGCATGCTTGTATGCACAGGAAAGGGGGGGACACTCCTAGAAACCCAGGACCCCTGAGACTTTGGCCTGAGCCGAAACCACGAGTCCACTGCTCTACCCACTGAGCCACCCAAGCACCCCTCTACTTACTAGCTTTTAAGTCTATGCCCTTTCCACAAATGTGCTTCTCAAAAAACAAAACCCAAAACCTTGTTTAGTATTTTGAAAAGTATAAACAAGGAGTGGAGAAATAAATTAATTCTAGCTTTTGGGGGGACAAAGTGCTAAAGTAGTGCATTTTACCTGGGGCTTTAACATATGGATGTCATTTTGATTTTAAAAAAATGATAGTTATAAGTGGGATAATAAAAACATAGGGACAAAGGACTGGCATGGGAAGTCATGGTATTTTAGCACTGTGAGTAGTCCTGTTAAACAGGTTTTGTACTTGTGTCCTTGTCCTCAACTATGAGCTCATAAACAAGAGCTTCTTATTTATCTTTGTGTCTTCCTCAGCCTCTAGTCTAGAAACTGGCACATAGTAGGTCACCAGTAATTATTTGTTAAACTAAATTCCTGTCCTGATGCTTCAGCACAGTTTTAAACCTCAGCATTGCATAGGAAGCTCCCCCTCACCCCCAACCCAAAGACAAGGTATTGAAGCAGTGAAGTGCTAGTACAGTTAAAGGCCTGAACAAGTAGGAGCTGCAAGGGCTCATTACTGTTGATGAGCCAGCCAGGTAGCCAACAGGTTCTGACAAACCAGAATTTAGATCCTGACTAGGCTATTTGTATGTCTTTGGGTAAATTTCATCCTCTGAATAATGGTCAAACTAATGTTGCATGAGATTGTAGGAGGACTTCAAACATCTAGGATGTCCACCTTGGCACATGGCCTTTCACAGATTGTAACACACAGAACAAAACACTAGACTTTTCCGTGAGGACAGTAAAGGTGTCTGTGTCTGTTCCCCCATTACATTCTCAGCTCCTAGTACAGGCTCTGGCCCTAAGCAAGAGAGAACCATGTATTGGCTGAATGAATGAATGAATGTCGCCTGCAAAGAGAAGCATTTCCAGTTCAGGTTTAGGTAGTGGCTTGCTCAGTCACAGCCCTTTCGGAGTTTCTAATGGGGATAGAACCCAGCGGTGGCACGGTTCTCAGAGTTCTTCCCACCCTTTAGTTTCGCTTCAGTTTTTACCACACGCTTCTGTCCCAGGCAGGCCTCTTCCTGAGCCTTCTGGGTACACGCAAAAACCCGGTAACTGGATAATTTCCTGCGAAACCCGTTGTCATTGAGCGGTGCAACTAGGCGTGCGCGGTGTCGCACACATGCTCACTTAGGTGGCGGAGAGTGGCGTTTCTGTTGCGGTTGGCCGCATTTCCTTCCACGGCAGCGGCAACGGCCGCTCTACTCCAAATTGATAGCCAATGCAGTTTTTTCTCTTCCGCCGCCTCCTCTTTCCTGCCTGGGCACTGCGCGCTCCCTGGGCACTGCTGCAGCTACTGCCGTGGCAGCTGGGCACTTGGGAAGGTTCCCTTGGGTTGGTGGGGAATGGGGCGCATGCCGGGAACGAAAGGGCATTTGGAGTCACCCTTAATTCCACTGCCAAGGGGATTTGAGGGGAGGGTGGTCCCCAAGGCAAGTCGCGAGAGGCACCTGAACCGTCGCTGCAGACGGGAGCCGTGGGTTTCTCGCCGCATGCAAAGCAAGAGTCCCCTCCTGCCCATCCTGCGCGTACTACTACTGAATGCCTCACACTGCCTATGTGGTGGGCGTGGGGGTAGGGGGCTCTTGTTATTCAAGAAAATGCAGAATGAAAGAATATAGAGAGATTTGCTTTTGTTTTTCCAGCCCCACTGAGCGCGGCTCCAGTACTTTCCGCGCTGCCATCTTAGCTTTATCTTCTGGCCAGGCTGGGCGTGTGTGTGCCTTTGGTTCGGAGGGAGGGTGGAGGGAGCACTGGGCGGGTTGGATGTCAGAATTGGCTAGACAAGACTTCTGGACACAATCGCCCGCAAAGAATAACATTGAACTAAGGCAAATCCTGACTTTGCCCATTTTATAAGTGAAACACATGCGTAGTGTTTTTTAGTCTTTGTGGTTGATAATCATGTTCATTTCTCAAAAGCATCTCTCCTCTGATTGTGTAAGACTATGGCTTCATCTTTCATGCGTATAATCACAGATTTTGTCTCTCTTTTCCACTTGCAATTGCAAACCTGGGAGTACAATTTTCTAAACTCTTCAGATTTGTATTTTTTGTACTCTATATCTTTAAGGATATTTTTTGGGGGGTTGTTTTTTTTAAAGGAAGCCATCAGCGCTGATGTAGTAAATAACAGGCAGAAACCATAAAGTGTACGTAAGAGGACAATGATTGATGTTGTTAGTTTCATTTAAAAGGTTAATATTGTACTAAAGCTCTAAGATTACAAACACAGGAAGCACGTATGTTATGAGGAACACGGAGACTGCTGAAAATGCTGTGGTCAAGTCAAGAGTCGGGTTTGTTTCCCAAATTTGTACAACAGTGTTGGAACATTTAAAAACAAAATTGGTAGCTGAGACCATTTTAAAACAAACTTAGTGGCTGAGAACAATTTGGAAGGAAAAAAATGCTCAAGCTTGAAGAGTGACGAAATATTTCACTCTTTGGTAACCTTCCCTTAGGGACCATGATTCTACATTCTTGACAAAATGACCATATGCACTTAAAATGAAAATTATTTTATGTACTATATTTAATACTCCAAAATGAACAGAAAAAATTCAACATGGTAATTTAAATTCTTTTAAACAAAAATTGCATATTGGATCCCCTAGATATCTTGACCTCTTGCTTTAAACATATGTTATTTCTAGAGCCTTGGAAGATTCTGTAATTTGTAGGCATGAAGAATTAATGCTTTTTTATTTTTATTCATATTAGTTTTTAAAGATACAGATTTTATGTTTTCCTATAGACAAAAATTTAGATTCTAGGGGGCTTGAGGTAAATATGGATATTTTCAGCCCTGAAAAATTATTCGAAATGTGAGGATATTCTTTGAAGTATGTGAAATTCATTAATAAATATTTGAATGCAAATCATATTTTAAAAATCTTATTGTTGTGATGCATTTTAGTCCAAAAGAAGCTTTACAAATGATAAAGGCATATAAAGTATAACTCTTTGAAAGAGAAATGTAAGAACCTTGCATTTTAACCTTGAAAACTTCACTGTAGTTTATAAATTATTAGGTTGGTCATTATTACTAAGGTTAAATAGTTTAATAATTAAATCATATCTTCCTAAACCCTAAAGGACTATTGAAATTCTTACATAATAGTAATTTTATCATATCAACATTTCCTTGAAATATATTGTTGTTGTTGTCTTTTATTTTATTATGTTATGTTAATCACCATATGTTACATCATTAGTTTTTGATGCAGGGTTCCATGATTCATCATTTGCTTATAACACCCAGTGCTCCATTCAATACGTTCCCTTTTTAATACCCATTACCAGGCCAACCCATCCCCCCACCCCCTCCCCTCCAGAACCCCCAGTTTGTTATTGTTTTTAAGATAGTTCTTGGCTAAGCCAGATATCGGGATATATCTAAATGGCTCTAAAATGATTATACTAAGTGTGATCTTATTTTAAAGACATGTACCCTCTTTCAGGCTATGTTTTCTCATCAATAAAATGAGGATAATAAGAGCACCTACTTCATTAGATTCTTTGAGGATTACATTAAATAATATATATGAAGGACTTGCTTAGCACACTACCTGTCAGGCATAACTATTATTATTAATAGTATGTGTGGTCTCCCTTATTTGAGGTGTATCCCAGTCTCGTGCCAGAGGAAGAAACAAACAGTTATACACTTTGAGTTATATACACTTGGATTTGGAAGTATGTTTTTTTAACAGAGTCCTTTTCACAAACAC